GGCCATAGAAATAGATGATGTGCCTATGAACCATGGTGATTTGCCAGTTCGCAAAGTGTTAGTTTACCAGAGGGTAATCATTGGGATATATTTCGGGAAAAGCTAGACAATCCCATTCTGAATTGTTTAATGGTTGTTTTGGGATACCTGCTCATGTTACCTTAATTCCCTGAAAATGTAATGACACGTACTGGGACTGGGTCATTTTTTTTTGGAACAAAACGATCCAACATGATCCAACAATAGATGATTGTTGTTTTTTTCATGGCGCCAAGATACCACGATTTCAAGGCGTCGCAAGGCTTCGAAGTCGTTGTCAAGGTGTCAAGACAAAGGCGGTACCAAGGGATCCCCCAATGATGAAATAGCTGGCTCCAATTTTGAGTAAAACACCACGGATTTTACCTTCTGGTAATTTAACATAGCTATGAAAAATCACCATTTTTAATGGGTAAATCCACTATAAATGACCATTTTCAATAGCTATGTTAAATTACCAGAGGGTAGCCATACACAACTTGATTTTGAGGTTTTTCCGCTTTGTAACATCTGAATTTGGAGGTGTTAAAAACAAAATTTGACCCAAACAGCGGGACGGGCAAAGCCGGAGGACAGCTGATGTAGCTGGAATCATTCCTGAAATGAGTACTTGCTGTGACATGAGTTATATAAGTTATATGGGTATGGGTCAATACCTATAGATACATTTTTAGTGGGATGAACATCCATTTACCAGCTATTTTGATGTTCACTAGGTACCAGGGTTTTGACCCATCCCCATATAAGTTATATACTTGCTCTAAGTTACTCTAGTTGCTGACGTTTAGATTGTGGGTGAATGATCGCTGAAGTCTGAGTTTCCTTCACCCCTTCAGCGCATGAATTCGATGTCCTGCTTGGATCATCCTGGTTCCGAATCCTACTTCGGAAGCCTGGTTGGTAAGTCCACTCAGTGATTAGTAGATATTAGCCATCAGAATTATAGATGTTAATTAATATTAATATTAACCACCATAATTGTTGATATGAACCATCAATTCATACTCACTGATTATTGATGTTATTCCCAGCAAAACTGGTGATTTTTGATTCCTCTTGTAAAAGGTTGAAATAACTATGGTTACACGCGCCAGTTATGATGGGATGAACCTCCATGTGGAGTGCTCACGGCCACAGGGAAGACCATCGCCTTCTGTTCGGTGGTCTTGGAGGGCAGGGATTCCCCAGGTTTTGAAGCGGTTGGAAGGGGTTACCCTCTGGTAAACATACAAAAAGCTATTGAAAATGGCCATTTATAGTGGATTTACCCATTAAACATGGTGATATTCCATAGTTACGTTAGTTTACCAGAGGGTAGGAGCTACGGTTTCCGTATGAACAAAACTTGGAAAGGCAAGGAACTACGACAGCTACGAATTGAGTTTCCTAAGCACGTTACAGTAAACGTCACAAATTGATTGGTGAACAACATTGAACAACCATGAACAACCCAACTAAGACACATTGTTCTGCTCATTGTTTGAATGTGAACAGCTCGCGGCACAGGGGTTTTGAAGCTCTTGGGATGTGCAGGGTTCAGAGGATGCCCCGCAGTTGCTACTGCAACCAGGGACTACATCTAGCACCGCCAGACATGACAACATCAACAAAAACCACGGAGAGGATACAGTAAATCACCACACTAGGTATCTTACAATCACTTCACCCATGTTTTACCCTGTTCGCGTAAGGGTCGATCATTCAAGCGACACCAACGTGTATCTGGATATACACGAGCAAACAAGCCTGAATATTATAGTAATTAATGACAATGATTCGTGTCCAATATGTACAATTAATCGCAATGTGCATCAGGGAGCTGCCCAAATGCCAGTTCATGCCAGTTCATTACAGCGGGCAAAAACGCGGATGTTGCATTTGAACAAATTGAACGGAGACATGGGAATGGCTCAAGACCATGAAGTTGACACGCAAAAAAGGATCTTTCTCTATGAAAAGTGACCAAATTTGTGGTCCCATCGGTACCTCAATTGCCCCCAGGAATTGATACCTCCACTGCTGGGTCTGCGCAGGTGAGAGCGGGACGGTCAGCTTCGGGGGTGCTGGAAATGATACACATAAATTATTATTTGGAGGTTTCCTAAAATGTGGGTACCCCCAAATCATCCAAAATTAGTCTAAGTATAGTTTAGTATTGAAACCAATGGTTTTGGGGATCCCCAATTTTAAGAAACCCCCATTTGGTAACATTTGGCACCCTCTGGTTATTTTACGTAGCTACGGAACATCACCATTTCAATAAGTAAACCATAAATAACCATAATAAGCAATCAACAAAAAGGACCATTTTCCATTGCTGCCATAGCTATGTTAAACAACCAGAGGGTAACCAGTTTAATGATTCAAAACGTATCGATGCATCTTTCAAATATGTTTTCGCATGGTAAGGTAGGTGTCAGTCCCTCAAACAAAGGTTTTCACATGATGCATACACAATGAAAGGAACTCCGTGCTTATTTTCCCCACCTTCAAACTCGCCTGATATAGCGCAACGAGCAGCTTGCCTACAAAAGCCTCCTAGATTGCCATCAATACATTTTCCATATATAATGAATATGATATGTTTCCAATACATTTTCCTTTAAATACACTTCCCAATGTATTGAACATATATGTATATATATATATACATATTTCCAGACACTTCATAGCTTGGATTGGTATCATGTTGAGTTCCCTCACAGAAAGCCATAGATGCCATAGTCATTGCACGGCAGGCGGTGATCTTGGCACCCACCCGGGAGATTGCAATGCAGGCTCCGAGAGTATCTGTGGAATTTGAGCAACAAGCCTTGAACAACTCAGATATTAATGGTCATTATTTGAGTTAATGATGGTTCATAATTGTTGATATTGATTAATAGTGGTTTTATGGATTTTATATGTAATACAGCTAACTATAGCCATTGATCAATGGGAATTTCAGGACCCCAAAATCCTAAAATGGAGAAAATAAGATACTTTTGGGTCATATTTTGTGGTGATTTTCCCTGACAGCCCTAGGTACCTCCAATAAACCGGTTTCTGAAATGGCAGATCAAAGGTTTGGCCCTATGGTGGAACGGTTGGAACCAAAATTTGTCGGATTATGTTGGACACAGACACACGGAGGTTGCCTCATGGATGCGTCACATTGGGAGCCCAAAGGTAAATGAATAAAGATGTATAGCAGATGGCTAGCACGATCCATAGCCATAGCCAAGATCTGTAGGTCGAAGAGAGTTCATATGTCTTTTGTTTTTTTAATATGGCTGAACCTGTGGGATTTTGAACATCACTTGAGATCATATCTTCTCAATAGTTGGGTGAGTTTGCATGTTCCATCGGAACTGGGATTTTTTCTACATAAGCCACCCAAGGGCTCCTCGCCTATACCCTGGATACTCAGATGGTAAGTTAACATAACTATTAGCCCATTGAGTTCGATGATTTACCTATGAAAAAAGGGTTGATGTTCCATAGTTGTGTTAGTTTACTGGAGGATATCTTGGTTTGGTTTTTTGGAGGTTTGTGGGTTCGTGGATCAAAAGGAACGTACTTGACCTTCTATGATTTTGAGGGGTGTCTGGCTGACTGGGTTTAGGTTTGCAAAGCCGGGACTTACTATATAAATCTATATAAGACCTTTACAAAGCCGGGTCTTGCTATGTAAGATATTGCTATGTAAGATATCACGAAAGGTAGCTCCAGAGGGGCTACCTTGAGTTTTACTTTACGAAGTAAAGGGGAGGGCGGCCAGCCCCGTTACCTGATTCTTCAGGAGATTGCTAGTCATTTTAGTAACCCCCCCCCCTCCACACCTCCCACGCACCCTAAGAGCAGACTCAAAACATTGTAATTTACAGTATTTTTGTTCTTTTCGGATCAAGAAACCACATTTTGCTACATGGTGAAACCTCCGTAAATACCAGTGTTTTTGCTAGGTGCCGGCCAAAAAACACTGTAAATACCGTGCTTTTTACTACCAGAGGCAAAAAACATCGTAAAAACTGTGGTTTTGGGCTTCCGACCCGCCAAAAACATCGGTATTTACGGTGTTTTTTGCTCCGAGAGTTGCAAAAACACGCGAAAACACCACCGATTTGACGATTTTCGGCCACTACGGAACCGAGCAAAAACGCTGCAGGGGTAACACCAACACCAACAACAACAACACCAACAGCAACAGCAACAACAACAACGACGACAACAACAACAACAACACCAACACACAACGCACAATGCACAACGCACAACGCACAATGCACAACGCACAACGCACAACGCACAACGCACAACACACAACACACAAAACACACAACACACAACACACACAACACACACACAACACACAACACACACAACACACACAACACACACAACAACACACAACAACACACAACAACACACAACAACAACAACAACAACAACAACACACACAACCACACACAACAAACACAACAACACAACAAACACACAACAACAACACACACAACACACACCACAACACACAACAACACACAACAACACACGCAACACACAACAACGCAACAACGCAACAACAACACACAACAACACACAACAACACACAACAACACACAACACAACACAAACAACACACAACAACACACCACAACACACCACAACACACACAACAACACACAACAACACACAACAACACACAACAACACACAACAACACACAACAACACACAACAACACACAACAACACACAACCACACACAACGACACACAACAACACACAACAACACACAACAACACACAACAACACACAACAACACACAACAACACACAACA